ATTATTACCATATATGACCTACTGTGTGTAAATATGGGGAAATGCCTGTAAAACAAACACACTCCCTATTCTAAAACTACAAAAAAAAGCAATCCGAATTATTAATAGATCAAAATATACGGAACCCACAAATCTACTATTTATCAAATTAAATGCGATGAAATTTTATGACCTGGTTGACTTTAAAATCGCCCAATTAATGTACAAAGCACACAATAACCTGCTCTGCCAAAACATTCTGAAGTTTTTCGAAATTCGAGAAAGCTGCTGTGATTTAAGAGGTACCAACTTATTCAAAAAACTCAAAACAAGAACAAAAATCAAGCAAAGAAGTGTATCTGTCAAAGGTGTTAATCTGTGGAATAATTTCGAAACGGACCTGAAAATGAGTAAATCGCTTGCTGAGAAATGTACAAACAACCTACATCAATCAGAGTTAAGGTGATAAATTCTAAACATTAATTAAACATAATAATAAATCAGAATTAAGTTGATAAATAGAGAAAGGTACTGCAATATCCATTATGAATACAAGAGAAAATTGACATAAGAGTGCCAGGGTGTGTATGTATAAAATCCCGATACAAAGCAAAAGTTGTAAAAATATCACGGTTAAGGGTAAAAGCATGAGCCTTTATGGAGACTTCTTCCTTCTTTCTTTCTTTCTTTCTTTCTTTTGTGATTGATATAAAAATGATCTATTTATATATAAACAAATAACACGGGGTAGGACTAGATAAGGTTTTTACTTCTTCCTACTCCCTTGAACATAATAATTCTGTTGAATAATGACTGATTTCTCTTTCCTTTTTACTATTTTACTTACCTTACTTTCTGTCAATTTATTACTGTATATGTTTTTATGTTCAATAAACAAACAAAACGAATAAAACGAATAAAAAAACTTGAAGGTCTCAACGGTTAATACAGGGCAGTTGGATAGGCAGTTGTGGCGAAGGATGTTTCCTGAAGTCCACGATCATCTCTACAGTCTTGAGCATGTTCAGCTCCAGGTTGTGTTGGCTGTACCAATGTGCCTGTTGTGGACATCCACGCTTGATTGGTTTAGAAAATACTGTACATATGCTTTTAGCAGGTTATCTGCAATTGCGTTGACCCACCGTTTAGCGGTTAGATGTGCCAGCGGTGGCAATAGACGTTATTTTATTGTTTAACTCACCCGGGTATGTCACTGAAGTTCGGCCCGCTGTAGAAGGGATGGGCAAATGACAACCCTTTTTTTGTAACAGGTAGATTCTATGTCCATACGTGCTGCTGAACACAAATCCAACAATCATTTTGACTAATGATGAAGATTGATATTGGTGGCAGGAAAATGGCTTTTTCGGTCATAATTTATTTGGAAGGTGCATAAAAGTGATGTGTAAAATGTCTTCTGTTTTTGAGGTTGCTGAATTCAAACAGTGGCAAATGGGCCTTTCACTTGTACAGCACTTTTCCACCTACAATTTTGAGTCTAAAATAATTTCATTAATTATCTCAGTTCAATCAATGAACAACATAAAAATGATAAAATTGATGTGTCCATTTGTGTCCAGCACACACGGACGCATCAGTGTACCCAAGAACAACCCAACAAGGGGGCTGATGATACCTTCCTTGAAAGGAAGGAGGTTTTCTTGTACTTGTTTTTAGCAATCGCTGCGGTTTGCTGCTTTCAGGCCGTGAGACACGTGAGGAAGACGGTCCACGAGGTTATGACCTTTTCGCACCCCCACGATGGGAGCAAAGCTGTCTGTGGAAGATGAGCTGGCGCAAACGCCGGAGGTGCTGTCAACAATCAGTGGTAGGAAACCATTACTTCGCCTTTATTGCTGATGTGGTTACTTCTACCAGGTCTCCCATCATTAGGCAACCTTCTCCTTGAAGGTATTTTGCCTTTTTTCCACTCCGTGGGCTCTACTTCCGCTAGTAGGAGCAAAGCAACCGACCACAGGCATCAGTGGAGAGGGTCCAATGCAGGGTGATAAGCCCCAGCCCACTGGTTGTCATTCGAATGAAAGCTAACTGGGCAGGCCCACTGCATGAGACAGATACACCCTTAAAAAGAGCCCCTTTTACCATGGTAGGAAGTATGATGTCTAATGACAATGCAATTCCTGATCCTTGAGATAGTTTGTTGAAAGCATGCCACAGATGCGTGACAGTCTGTTATGTTAAATGGGCCAATGGCAAGCCCAACTTTTGAAATTACAATGACCAGTGGGATGGATCTTCATATCGTCACGTGGGTCTGTTAATTTGACAAATTATTGATCATTGTAAATTGAAAATGGCATGCTCTCCTTGACAATGTAACGTTAATGGCTCAACAAACATGCCACTTTTCGGTTTCCTGAAAAGTGATGGTTTTGGCGATGCAAAGATGCTGCCCGTCGTCAGTGATAAGCAACCAAACTATGCAATGAATTGACTTTTACACTTGACTTATGCATATAACTGAAATGTTCTCCATAATTAAGCTAGCACTTGGCACTGTCATGTTCCGTATTTGGCAGCAGGTGGCAGGCGTTCATTCTGCTGCCTGCACACCTGCTGCCTATTTGTTAATGATTACACCTGCTATTTCTAAGCACTCCGGCTTCCGATTCATTGCCGGAGTATTGCATGCCGTGCCACTGTGATTGCCCATGTTTGTAAACCTTATTCGTATTCAATTGTTGTTCGCTACACTTTCGTCATCCCATTGGGATTATTTAAAGACGCATATTTGATCGAGTAAATTGTCTTATCTTTTTCCTTGCCGTTTTTTGCAAGCGCTTTGTTTTTTCTCGTTACATTATTTCCTGGTTCTCATTTTGACCAGCGTTTTCTGTTTTCCATTAGACGGTGTTTTCGTTTGTAATAAATATTATTTTTTGAGACGAAGTGTCTGCTACTTCGGGGATCCACTTATTCTCGTTCACTCTGTTGCATACGAAGCAGTTCTTTTTTCCTGCCTTGTACGCAACGTGACAGAATACTCCGGCCACCATGGATCCCGCAGACATTGATAAGGTTTTGTCCGCTCTGTCCCGTCTAGAGCAATTTACGAGTCAGCAGAGCCGAGCCATTACGGAGCTTCGCGGCGCGGTTTCCATGCTGGCTCACAGGTTTGATGATTTCGAGCCTCGTTTAGTGGTTTTAGAAGGACGGAGAGCACCTCCCCCGGTGGTTCAACTTACCACTACGGAGGTACCCGTCTCTTCCCCTACCGTAAGTAGGGAACCGATGCTCCCACACCCACCACGTTATGGTGGTGAGCACGGTCAGTGCGGGCACTTCCTCCACCAGTGCTCGCTCATTTTCGACCAGCAACCTTCCGTTTATATTAACGATAATGCGAAGGTTGCCTATATCATGAGCCTATTAACTGGTCAGGCGGCGTCATGGGCAATTTCGGTGAGCGAAGCACAACCGAGCCTCCGGTCTTCCTACCCCGGCTTCGTGGCCGCGTTTCGTCGGGTGTTCCACCATCCCGTACGGGGAAGAGAGGCTGAAGGCCGGCTACTTGAGCTCCGCCAAGGAAGACAATCCGTGGCGAACTACTCAATTGAGTTTCG